GGTGACAGGGATGCTTCTGTGGCCGGAACACTGGACAGAGAGGCAGAGCAGGCACTGAGTTTAGCCTGGGCCATGAACCTGCCACAGGCTATCCAGGAAGAGGTCCTAGCAGAGCCGATGGGGCTGGACAAGATGTACCCACTCAGTACCACCCATGCAGTAGACCAACACTGAGGAAGCAGGACAGGCGCCCTGGGCATGAGAACTCAGAAGGGCCTGAGAGAGCTGGTGGCCAGTGCCCAGCAGATTCAGGAATTAGGTCACTGAACAGAGTGACGAGGATGGAAGCCAGACTGAGAGCTATGGAGCGTGGAAACAGAAGGCAAGGCCTGAGGAGAAAGCACAGATGGCGCCCTAGACCTCCACACAGGAGACCCCCTCCCTGCAGTACAAGTCCATGGCAGATGCCCTGACAGAGGGCAGAGGTGACAGTGGTGGTAGCATTTTATACATGTTTGTGAGTCCCTCCCACACTGCCACACAAACCATCTACTCCACTGGAGAGCCACTAGATCACGTTTTTTTGTTTTTGTTTTTTTTTTAATTTTAGAGAAAGGTCTACAGGTACGCAGGGTCTCACTACTAGATTGGACTTGTAGTGACTCACCTGTTTACAGCCTCCCAAGAGCTGGGATTACAGGCACATGCCACCAGGCCCAGTCTCAATCGCTGTCTCAGCACACCCCGGGGGCGGGGCTGGCACGGCAGAGCCAGGAATTGAACCCCAGGCCCCAGTGCCTGCTTGCAGGTGCTTTAATCCGCTGAACTATTTGGCTGGCCCTTGGAGAGCCACTGGATCAGAATAGCGGGTCTCAGAGGGAGCCCTGCTGGCACACTGCCACCTGGGGACTTGTTAGAAACACACACCCTCAGAGAGGCACAATCTTAACATCTGCTGGCCTGGAAACCTGTGCCCCACGGACCTCCACTGATTCTTGTGCTCACTGGGGTCTGAGACACAGCCAAGGACAATGGCTCTCTATGAGAGAAGTTTGTGGCACTGCTGCCTGAGTCTCACCCCAATAGCTGAGTCCCCACATCCCAGCACTCAGGGGCTCCTCCCTGGGGATGCTGCCTAGAGCACTGGGCTCACTCTGCAGAGGCAGAATGGAAAAGACAGAGAGAGGGTCACATTTTTTTTTTTTTTTTTTTTTGAGAGATCTTACTAAATCACTAAATTGCCGGGTCTGTGCTTGAACTTGCAATCCTTCTGTGTCAGCCGCCCAGGTTACTGACATGTACCAGCACACCTGACTTATGGCCTGGATGTTATCTGAAGCCCAGCCAGCTGGCCCCTCCAGTCACCAGTCAGCCCCTCAGTCCAGCATGACTATTCATCCTGATAGGTCTACTACATTGCATGAAAAAAAGTCTAGCAGGTCAGTAAAGCACTCTTGCATATGTCCAGGTGGGGCATGGAGGTGTGGCCTTGGGTACTATACACCAGAGGGTCCCCAATCCCTAGACCATGGTCATGGCCAAATAGGAACTGGGCTAAGCAGCAGGAGGTGAGTGACGGGCACCTGCGTGAAGCTTCATCGGTATTTACAGCTGCTGCTCACCATTCGTAATACTCCCTCATCCCCACCTCCTGTCAGATCAGTGGTGGGGTGGGGGTGAGAATATTAATTTTTTTTTTTTGTACTGGGTATTTTTTTTAACTCAGGACCTTCTGCTTGCCAGGCAGGTGCTAATGCTGCTGAGCTATATCCCCAGCTGAATATTAGAGTCTTATAGCATGAAACCTATCGTGAACTGCACATGGGCAGGATCTAGGTTGTGTGTGCCTTATGAGAATCTTATTCCTGATAATCTGAAGTGAAGCTGAGGCAGTGATGCTAGTGCTGGGGAACAGCCGAGGATACAGATTAATATTAGCAGAGACCGTAATGTCAACTGCTTGTAGGCTCACACACAAAAAAAATCTATCCATGAGTGGCAAGTGACGACCTAGATGAAACCCTATACTATGTATTTCATCTCACGGAGCTGAGATATCCTGTATGAAAGGACAAGCCTTTTGGGCTTTTCACTTTACCACAAAGAACAGAAGCAATTAGCGAAGGCCACCATTTCATCAAATGCATCTACACTGAAAGCATTCTTACTGTCTGACTGCATCGCTAAAGCTAAGCTCTTTACTATCGGAGAGGCGTTGATCCTGTCTGCTGCTAAGGGTCTATTGTGAACTTTCAGGAGAGGCTGCGATTCAAAAGGTGGCACGTGTTCCTTTTTCAGTTAACACCAGAACTAGATGAGCTGATGAAACAGCGGTGGATACCAAGGCACCACTGTTAAGAGAGGATTCATGAGTCACTGAACTCAATTTTAGGGGAGGATGATGACTATGTTTAAGTCACCAGGTAAAGTGATCTCACTCAAATCCAAATCGGAATTATGGGGGTGATGATAACATTTGAGGGTCTTTTTTTTGGGGGGGGAGGGTTAGGGTCTCACTATTTAGTCCAGGCTGGCCTTGAACTCACAGCAATCTTCTTGCCTGTCTGTTGAGTGCTAGGCTAAGTGTGTGCCACCATACCTGGCAACCCTGGAATTTTTTTTTTCTGCATTTTTTTTTTTTTTTTTTGTGGAACCAGGGATTGAACTCAGGCCCTTGCGCTTGCCAGGGAAGCACTTAACCCTGGAATTTTTGAAATGTTTCAAACATTAGTGGAGATTTTGAAAGAGACTGAGTCAAGGTCTTCTTTCTTCAGGCTGGGGCCTGATCACATAACACAACTTGCAAAAAAGGCTGAGCATTACTTCTCAACCACGGAAGGCTCCCCAGCGAGGGAGGAATGGATCCATGAGCTGTTTGTGAATAAGCCAGGTGAACTGTTTATTCATGCTAGAAGAGGATCAGCCGCTTGAGATCATAAATGACAGTCATCCTAAAGGATGTTTGAGACTTCAGATCTCCATGGTTTGGATTAAAGTTAAGGTAGACAGGGGCTGGGGAGATAGCTCAGTGGAATAAGCACTTGCCTGGCAAGCGAAAGGACCTGAGTTCAATCCCCGGTTCCGCAAAAAAAAAAAAAAAAGTAAATAAAAAATAAAGTTAAGGTAGACTATCCTGAGATGAGCACACAAGCACTGAAAAGCTGGATTCCATTTCCAACATCCTATCTTTGAGAAGGTTTTCTGCAGTGACTGCGACCTAAATGAGATTAAGAATGGAAGGGACAGAAGCAACACACTGGGCACCAATGTCAAGCTCCAGCTGTCCTTGCACTGACCATGCGGGAATAATATACAATAAATGGCATGTCCTGAAATCTTCCCAAAATGATGCCTCTCCCCCAGCCTGTGAAGAAATTGTTCCATGAAACTGTTCTCTTGTGCCAGGGGGTTAGGGCCTGGTGCTATATATGGCCACTGGACCCTTCTTCTCTGGCACTGCTCCCAGGACGTCATGAACTAAGCAGCTTTGCCACATGATGCCCTCCCTTTATGGTATCTCTGCAGTGGAGCGAAGCAATCATTCATTAATACTGTGAGCTAAATTAGACCTCTCCTTTAAACTGTGGGTGTTGGGTTTTGTGTTTCAGCTTTACACACACCAAGACCAGGAACATGTGCCCTGTCCCAAAAGAATCAAAAGCATTTGGAGAGGGCACATGGGTCTGAGACAGTCTTGTTATATAGTTTAGGCTTGCCATGAACTCACTATCTAGCCCAGCTGGCCTCAAACACTTCTTCCTGGATATCCTATGGCAGAGTCATGGCCCAGGGTGAGCTCCATGTTTGGTTTGCCTCTGATCAGTGCTGACTCCCACAGACACAACACTGTCACCAGTGAGAGGCTCCATAGCCACCATGCCTAGCTAAAAAAATTTTTCATTTTAAAGTTAATTTTTATTGTCAGACTTTGGACAGGGAAAACCTGAATAGCAACATTATAAGTATCTCAGACATTCCTGAGGACTTACCAACTTAATTAAAATCTTAGTTGAGAACAGTCAACTGATTTCAATAGTAAATGATCATTACAAAATAAAAGCAGACCAAAATAAGCCTGGAAGATCATTACTCCTGAAAGCCTGCATGTCACTGAGATACTAAAAATTCAAAATCTTTTGTCCTATAGTATAAAGGCTTTTGACCTTGACAAGTTTATTTTTACCAAAAGTAGTGAATGTACATTTTAAAAAAATGTGTCACCACACTGTCTTGGTGATAATACTGTTTCCCCCTCTTCTCCATTTAGCCTACTCTCAGAAACAACCCTAGTTATCTCCAGATAAGGGTATGCACATTAAAAAACCATGAAGAGCCGGGGAGATGGCTCAGTGGAATAAGCGATTCCCTGGCAAGTGCAGGGGCCTGAGTTCAATCCCCAGTTCCACCAAAACAAAAACAAAAACAACCAAAAAACCATGAATAATAGAGCAACAACTTTTCAGAGAAATTGTGAGTAGACTATATTTTAAGGAAATGCAAACTTCATTTTGGCAAGTGACTTTGGCCTGCATTGTTGAACCATTTAAATGATGAAGTTACTCAGAAATATGGTAATAGGAGGCACTTCCATCACAGTGATGATGACTCAGATGTGGTTAGATGTTCTAAGAGTATTTGCTTAAGCTTCTATATATTTGTTAACCTAAATTCCCTCCAGTTGTATGCGCCCTTGTATGTCTTAAGAGCTGACCCAAAAGAATCTGTTACTTTATTTTTTTGTGTTTGGTTGTTGCAGGGCCCCTAGCTAAAATTTCTTTGAAATAGTCTTGCTAAACTGCCCTAGCTGGGCTGAGCTTGGAATCCTACTGCCTCAACCTTCCAAAGTGCTGGGACTACAGGCATGAGCTACTATACCTCTCTTTATCCTTTTTTCATTCTCAAGTAGGAGCTGGTCTCTATTTTTTACTACAAAGGTCTGGAGGTTTCCTCTGCTATGGATGGCTTTGTGAAAGTATGACAAAGATAACTTTTCACTTGATCTCAGGAAACCCACAAGGAGTTGGCTGGAATACATCTCTTAAAAAGTCAGACACAGAAAGGACTCACAAAGACACATTTTATTGCACCAAGATCTAGGAACAACCAGGGCTCCCAAGGTCCTTGGAAAGGAAGTGGAAAAGGTGGGAACCCTTCACATATAGGTGCAGCTACACAACCAGGACATGGGGGGAGAATGACTCCTGACAGTGGAAGGTGTGCAAGATGAAGGGAACACTGGGGAGGTGGTCTACTACACATGGGTCCCCTACCTCCACTCTCAGGTTCTAACCCAACCAAGTGACTGCTGTTATACAAAAGTTTAGGTATTTCTATGTATTTATATATGTACATGTCACCTACAATGTGGATGGTTATCTGGGCGCATTCGTATTCATGCCTGTCTGGTTGATGGTTTTCTGCAGAAGGGAAGGACCTGCCTCCACCCCACAGTGACAAACACTACAGGAAAGCAGGCCAGGATTTACAACTGCCAGAGAGAATACAGAGTTGGTTTCCCCAATAAATGGTCCTACAACGTTCAGCCTAGGAGAAAAGACGAGGCCAACTGGAGGAGGGGACAGAGACACAAAGGAGATCAAGTCTGTGCTAGCAGACAACTTACATTTTCAGCAACAGAGCGTCATGGAATAAATATGCCCAGGGAAACAGTTAATATAAGACTGAGTCAAACCCTCTAATGGAGAAGCAAGCCCTGCCCACAGAGCTGCCTGTGAGCCTTCCTTCTGAGACAACAGATTAGGAAGCAAGAGCACACTAATGCCAGGCCTATCCTGAGCAGCATTCAAAGCTACCATCCACTGTTGTCTAGAAGTGATCAGGCCACGGTGTCACCATTCCCTCCCTCTTTCCCCTAATGTAAAAAACCAAAGGGAGAAAAACCTAAAAGAACCACTGACAGAACCACCTCAGCCATCCCTCACTATATGAGGATGCAACTCCTCTCAGTACCCAAGGACTGAGCAAAGTCGTGAGCTGAGAGCAGAGCAAACAAGAAGGGTTGCACTGACGAAGGCAACAGCCAGGCCAGGGGGCTGGGCTCCTGCCCGCGTGCCCTGGGCAGCCCAGGAGAGATGAGGGGATGAATCTCATGAGGAAAGACCTCCGATGTACTTGTACACCTTCTACTGATGGGGTGTTATCTTTTCCTTGGATACACCACTTTCACTGAGGAGTCTCATGTTTATTAAATTATAAGTCTGCAGGCACAGCTTGAGCAAGATAAAAAAGGGATCTTCTTGAGTCATACAATCATCTAGATTCAAAAGCACTCACAAAATTGAGCACACAAAGCCAGTATTTGCATATTATTAGGGGAATATATTGCTGCTGGGAAGCCACAGGCCTGGTTAAAAATAAATGCTTTGTATTAAGTAGTAAAATAGTGGAGAATTCATCCCCTATACCACCACCTCCATAGAGACCCATAGGTTATTTCAGCTGCAAGGAAAGCTGTGGCAAAGTCACCCTGGAACAGATAGCAGCCTGAGAAGCAGATGCATTGGCACATAATTCAAGAGTTCCCCACCCCAAACAGCCTTTGCTTCTGAGATGCGCTGAAAGTGCTACCTTGCCAGTCCCAGAAAGGCAGAGGCGGTGGTGCAGGTGGGCACCAGCTCTTCCCTTTCCAAGGCAGATAGTAAGGCATACAGACACATGTCCCGTAGAGGGAACAAAAGGGGCGGGGTGCAGGACAGGACAGTGCCAGGCTCAGGAGGAGGTAAGTGACGGCTCACTAGGAAGAGCCTCCAACTGCATGCCTGCCATTCTGGGCACAGGATGCACCGGGAAATGCACGGTCCTGTCCCCACTGTCAGTCCCAGACAGGAGCAGATGACTTTGCCCACCCAGACTACTGTCCATGACCACAAGGATGCTGGCCCCTTCCAAATGTCCCACAGGTTGTGGTCAGCTCTGCTGGACACCACCTGCTGAGGTTTCTTCTGGGGCTAGTTGTGAATGTCCCCAAGGCCTCCACAGCAGGTTGTCTGCAGTGATGCTGCAGCCCTCCACGTGGCAGGCTCACAGCAGAGCCTGAGGTGATAGGCAGTTGAGTCTGCATGAGGCCACTCCTCAGATCCAGACAAATGGTTCCCAGGAAGTGACGGCTCCAGGAGGCTGTGGGACAGGCACATGGTCCTCCTGGTGAGAATCAAGAACCCTGATGTTCCCTCCTCCACTCTCCTGTACACCCTAAAGGGGAAGCTGAAAATGCCACGAGGTCACTTCTGCAAAGGACTGGCACTCCACACAACCACACACCACACACCACACGTCACGTAGAATCACCCCCCCCCCAACACAATCACATCAGATATACACACCCTGAAACTGACCTATTTTGACATCACGTTCACCGGCGGTAGCTAAGGCTGGTGGCCTTGGCTGGATGAGTCACAGACCAAAAGTTCCGTCTACTCTGAAGCTTCTGGAAGGCATTGAAGTTTCTCCTCTTTTCCCTCTTGAATTTTTTCATTTTCTTCTCCTACATCAAGAACCACAGGGATCACAAGGCTCAGTGAGGGCTCCACTGAATCCAGGCGGTCGCTACCACACATGCACTGCAAGTGCACTTGGCACAGGTGCACTCTCACGTGCCACACACGAGCCTGTGGGAGGCCTGCCACCCGATGTGCTGGTGAAGGCACAGAAGCATCACATAGTCACAGCCTTGCCCACAGTGTGGAACATGCACGAAAGATGGAGCCTGGGCAACTGGTTCCAGCCTCACCCTGCTCTTTACCACATGCCTGTTCTTCACACCAGTGAGTTCACGTGAGCCATACAAACCTCTTCATCAGCTGGTCTCACACACACATACACAAACACACACACACTCCGTACCTTGCCACGATCAAATTCTTCGTCCCAATCATCAACCACTGTCTGAGTCTGGGCCATTTTGCTGTCCTCAATAGCATCCCGACTGACCGCAGACAGTTCTCCATCCCAAGTCAGAACTGGACAACACAGGCATGATGTAAGGTGATCTTCAGACTTGTACCAATTTAGATCCATCAATTTATTTATTTTTGGCTTTAAGACAAGGTCTCACTAAGCAATTCGGGCTGGCCTCGAACTCAGTGATCCTCCTGCCTCAGCCCCGAGTGCTGGTATAAGAGGTTTACCACCACACCTGGCAACTCATCTACTCTTAATACTCAAAATGCCCAAGTGTCATCTTTTGGTGGAAATGGACAAGCAAAGGGGGAAAAAGGAGGACAGAATGTGCAATTTACATGATGGTCAAAGTGGAACCAATGACTCTTCTGCTTAAACTGTATCAGCAATTATGTAGCTCACTTCTTCAGAGCCCTGTGCCTTCACTCAAGAAGATCCCATGTTTGTTCTGGTGGTCTGACTTATAAGGCTCCAAGTTAAGTGGCCACTACAGGCGCCAGAGGACCATGTGCAACAGCCCCTATCTACTAGGGATCCTGATACTCCTGCAAGGAGGTGCTGTTCTGCATCATGCCATGGACAGAACCTAGGCTTAAGACAGAACCTACCTTTCTGCTATGGCTGAGGGCACAGGATGGGGGTAGGGGGATTCTTCTTCCTGTTTTTAAAGTCAGATATTGCATCCCTTCTTTCTCCCAGTGCATTAGGGCCTGTTTCCACCCCACCTCCAAATAAACCAGGCCAAGGAAAGCAGGAGCCATACCTTGTCTCCCGTAAGCCTTATCCAATGAATACTTGAGCAACTCCTGGACCACATCAGATTCTCGCTCCCTGTTCCACGGTCCAAGAGGAGCCTGTCCAAGCCCTGTAAGAAGAGTGGTCAAGATCCACTTATAGATGTTCAAAATGAACTGCTACATAGCTCTCACTGACAGCACAACTGCAGAATTTACTAATGACAAATGCTCACTTACTAACACTGAAGTGCTTAATGTATTTAACAATTTTACTGAACAGCTGTTATCCAAGTGAAGTCCTGAAAAAGTAAGCCAAAACCAAAACTGTAACAATATTAATCCTCAGTCTAATGATGGGAGGAACTAGCTCCAGTTGGAATCTACTTTATTAGCCAGAAACAGTGTGGATTATAAAGGTCCCCACAGGTCCTCAGGAAGGTGCTACTGGAAGGTGATAGAAGCTTGAATGTGGGGGCTCTTTAGGTCACTGGGGTGTGTCCTCAAAGGGGACAGTGGGACCTCAGCCATGAGGTAAGTGGCTCTGCTCTGCCACATGTGGCCATGATACCCTACCTCACCACAGGCCCAAGGCAAGAAGACAACTTTCTCTCTGAGGTGATCATCTCAGGTATGTTATAGCTTTGGAAACTAACACATGGCCAGTGCTTAAGAATGGCCTCAGGTGCCTGGCTAGCTTGGTCGGTCGAGCATGAAACTCTTAAGAATGGCCTCATGTGAGGAACATGGAAGCATCAACACCGTCACTGTTAGTAGGGGCCCTCAAGTTTCCCAAATTCTCACCTGGGTGGTCCCCAGCAAGTTGGCTGTTCACACTCAACTCTATGCCCATGGGGACACTGGGCTTTGTGCTCCTCGAGTCTTTTGGATGTTTGTTTTCTTCCTCTTCCTGCTGTGCCTCAGGCTTTCTTTTCTTCCTTTTCTTTTTCCTTGGGGATTCTGCCTTGGTCTCACGTTCTCTGTGGTCAATGGAGGTGCAGCTGCTGGGTATCGAAAGTGACAGTTAGCCCTGCTAGCATACTGAAGGCAACAGCAGGGCTCAGTGACAGGCACCTGACCCACTTCCTTCAACTCTGTAGGAAACTTGCCCCTAACGTGACACTGAGGACAACTTGGGAAGCTGTTCTCTATGACATCACTCATACCACATTGTGGCTGGAAAAGTGGTCAAGGAAGACAAGATCTGATACATGGACACACATCCAGCATGAGGAACATGGACAAGAATATTAGATGGTCACACTTTTAATTCAATTAGGGCAACCCTCCACACCTCACCCTGGCCCAGGGCACGTGACCCTGTCTTTGGACAAAAAAAAAAAAATGACGGCCATGGCCTGGATGAAATCATCCTCCAGGAACTAATATCCACTGACACTATACAGAAGACATTTTGCTCTCTGTGCAAAAGTTAGCAGTCCAGGGCAATATTCTACCTATCAAGAGCACATCTATCTGGCACAGGACTGCTTAGTTTCTACAGTCTTGACAGAGGGCATGTGTCTCGCCCAGCTCTTACCTGTGCCAGGGTGCAACCTGGTGAAGGCTGACTTCTTCACAGAGTCCCTCTGCTCCCTTCCGCTTCCTTTTCCTGCTTCTCACATGTTGGCTGTCCACAACATAGCTCACTTGCTGGTTATCCACCTGGGGCTTTGTGTCTTCTGCCTTCCATGGGGGAGCTGGCAGCTCTGCCTGTCCCTTCTTGTTCTTGGGGCTCCAAGGTGGCCCCTGCATCTGCTCCTGAGGAATGGCCATTGCCAGGCTCTCTGGGCCCTTCCTCTTCTTCCTCTTCCTCTTCTTACGAGGCACTGCGTTTGCCCCCCCCAGGAGCTGCGAGATACATGCTTCTGAGCCAAGCATCTGAGGCTTTCCCCCAGGGCTCCTGTGCCTCTTCCTAGAGGGGCTCTGAGAGGCCTCGCTGGCTTCCAGGGGCTGGTGTGAAGGGGATGCCAAGTCCCCAGTGACCTGAGGCAGGGAAGTCCGGGTGGAAGAGCAGCTCTGTGGCTCTGGTATCTGTGGGGTTTGGGGAATACTACTGGACAGTGATGCAGAGGGAGTGCTGACAGGAGGCTTCGGACAGCTGGATGATCGGGGAGCAGGTGAGAGAGCCCTGTAGGGAAAGCGGGTAACAGAAAGGTCATTCTGAAACATCTGCATGGAGCTCTTCCTTCGGGCCACCCTCCCTCCCTTTTCTACCTAAGAATTTCTTTTTTCTTTTGTTGATACAGGGTCTCACTATGCAGTTTGCACTCATAGTCATCCTCTTGTCTCAGCCTCCCCAGTGTTGGGATTACAGGTGTGCACCACCATGCCTGGGTCTGGGGCCAGCATCGCATGTGGTACCAGGGGTTAAATTCAGAACCTTCTTGCTTATGCTACTGAGCTATCTCCCCAGCCCTCACCTAAGAATTTCAAAAGATTTTTTTTTAAAAAAATTATTTATTTATTTTTACATTTATTTATTGTGTGTGTGTGTGTGTGTGGCCAGCTCAGCCCACCAGGGGGCGGGGCTGGCTGGCATGTGGTGCTGGGGGATCGAACCGCGGTCCACTGTGCTTTGCTAAGCTTGTTCTAAGTAGGTGCTTTAGACCACTGAGCCATCTCTCCAGCCCCTCAAAAGATTTTTTTTCCTATCATTTTCATATACACATAAATTGCAAGTATGTTTGAAGATAGGCTAATAGCGTTCAATGTTTACTTAAGGTCAAAACTAGTCAGCTGTGTTGACACACATCCATAACTTCAGCCCTCTGAGGCTGAGGCAGGATAATCATAAATTTAAGCCTGACCTGAGCAACCTAGCAAGTGCCTATCTTTTTTTTTTTTTTTTGGTTGGCTCAGCCCACACTGAGGGTGGGGCTGGCATGGCATGTGATGTCAATGCCGGGGATTGAATCTTGGTCCTCTGTGGCTCCCTATGCTTGCCTAAGCAGGAGCGTTAGACCACTGAGCTATCTTGCTGGCCCCCAAGTGCCTATCTTAAAATAAAAACGACTGGGAATAGCTTAATAAAACTGGGTTCAATGAGTACTATGTGCACTAGTTTCTTGTGATCAAACAGTTCAAAGTACTTTTACCAATGCTAATGTTCTGAGTTTTCAATCAAATGTGTTTCAAAAAGGGCAAGCTTCACTAAGTAAGAATGGTCAGAAAAAAATCCAGTCTGAATTTGTCATTAAATCTCCAAAGCCACAGGTCCCTGGAAGAAAATAAGCCTGCTAAGAAATCCAAGAGCAGGCCACATACCTCCCATGGTTACTTCCCTAAGAGCCCGGGCGCTGGAAAAACTGGGTGCAGTTACAGAGCCAACTCACACTACAATGTGAGTGATAGGACCGAGTGCCACGTCACATGCAGTGCAACCTGCCTCTCTTGAGCCACATGCCATAGTAAAGCTAAAGGCTCTCTGAGCTGTGCTGGTCGCATCTGTCAACAAGTGGCAGTTTTAAAAAATACTACGGTAGGGATGGGCCCTGTGTATAAATGTGAAAGGAAGGCAGAGGCTGAGGGATGTGGGTGGGGTACAGTAAGTCATCTTTGGGGGGTAGCTTTCACTTGCTCTTTGCTGTTCCCTACCTGGCTGCAGATAACCCAGTACACAGCAATCTGTCAGGAACTCTCAACTCTACAATCAGGTAGGTGCCTTGTCACTGTCTCACTGGGGCAGGAGAACTGGACTTCAGAAAGAGCATCTGGGGGAGCCTGAAACCAGTCTCCTCATTCTAGGAGCCCATGCAGCCATGGCAAGAGAACCAAGGGGGTCTCTTCAGGGACAAAAAGACAGGAGACCATGGCATGATAGCTATAGGCAGAAAGGCCAGCAGGACTTACAGGCCTCTGAGCTCACTCAGGGAATCAGGACAGCGTAACCCACAGCACAGCAGGTTATGACATGCATGTGACCAACAGACGAAGAAGACAAAAACTGAAAACTAGGTGACTAAACTGACTCTGGCCAAGCAAGGCTCCTTTACAGATGGGGACAGAGAAGGTAAGAGGGGGTCTAAGTCTTCAAAGGCCCAGAGTTCTTCAACAGCCCAGTACGTGTAACCATAGCAGAGATAAATGGCACCTGGAGGTCTAGTACCAGAGCTCACCTGGATTTACTGAAAGGCCAAGTGGAGGCAACGACGGGGTGAGTGGCTGTCATGGGGTAGGTGAGGTCGGAGAGTGGTGAGGGCGGAGGTGAACGGAGGTCATTGCCGGTCGCCCTCCGCAGGGTGCTGGCCTGCAGTTATTGACATAAATAAAAACTTGGTGGTCTAAAAAAGGTTTACGTGGTGAAGAGGGAAAATAAAAGTAAAATAAAAATAAAATAAAACAAAAATAAAAAAATAAAAGAGCCCAGAAAGAATGAGGGGACAAGAGAGGAAAAAAAGGGAGGTAGAGGGTAAGAATGGTAGAATAATCAGAAGTATTATTGGTTAGAAACAAAAAGGAAAAAGGAAGGAAATTTAAACAAAAATCTCAGCATAACAATATAGCATTGTGTGGCAGCCCCAGTAAGTTTGGAGCCACACACTAACACCGCAGCCCAGACTTCTGTGTAAGGGTCCTGGGCTCCGGCTCCCTGCAGACCCCGCTCCGACCATAGACCTGCTGGAGGACTGTGGTTCAACCAGGATGCTCCATCCACAGCAGGAAGGAGAACAGGCCTCAGCCAAACCCCACTGCCTTCACCCCAAGATAGACTTTGTGTAACCTGCATCTCCCACAGATGCCTCAAAGGCACCTGCTCCTCCAAACCAAAGGAGCCTAAGCTTCCCACCATTTTCTACTCCCCAGCTACAAGCATGCTGACTTGGGCCCCAAGATATTTTCAGGGTCGAGACACCCACACACCCACCTTCTTGGCAGACAGGGCCAGTTTCTTGGCTGGTGGAGGAGACATGAGGCTCATGGGCTCGATGGCAGTGCTGCCCAGGACAGGAAACTTGAGCTTCACCATCTTAGAATCCAACCCATTGGGCAGCATTTTGGAGTGACCAGAGGTGGGACACTTTGTTCCCTGAGAATCATGGGCAGCTCCACCCCCGGAGGCCTGTGGGACCTTAGGGCTGCTGCTAGAAGAGTGCTCCGGGCTGGAGCTGCTGGAAGTCTCCTTCTCAAGGTCTGCAATCTTGTCTTCCCCCTTCAAGCCATGCCCACTGGCAGTGGTCTCAGCCAGGAGCTTTAGTGAGGTAGAGGGGACAATGTCCCTGCTGTCCCAGGAGCTCTGCCGTCGGCTCCCAGGTTCGCTGGTACCAGGTGAGCCCTGAGAAGTTCGGAGGGAAGGGGAACAGTGCTGCGAGGGGACCTGCTTCTTCACTTTCTTCCCGTTCTCATTCAGGAGGGTTGGCCCATGTGTGGGCGTGTGGGCCAATCTGGGAGGAGGGGACCCCAAGGGTGACTTTGCAGGCACACATCCATTCTGTAACTTTGGGCCTTGCAGGGAGCCATTCCTGGAAACAGGCACACCAATTTCCTCAGGGGCCTGCGGCTTCCTCATGGTCACAGGGCCTTGTAGCTAAAGGAGATCAAGGCAGAAAGTACCATCAGGTCGCTGTTCTTAAATCAAAGCAGGCTCCCAGAGCATGGGTGGCCTCTAATGTGCAAACTTGGGAAAGACTATAGGCATGTGGTAGAGTCTCTGACACTGATCTGAGCAGATTCACTGTTCCCCAGCTCATGTTTACACAGGCATGCATCTTTAAGACCATCTTTACTATGAGAGAAGCACGTTGGCATTGGCATTTGAGCAAAGGTAGGCCAGGCATGGTGATGTACACCTGTAATCCCAGCGCTCTAGGAGGCTAAGGTAAGAGGATCACAAGTTTGAACCTGGTATGGGCAACTTCGCCATTTAGTAAGACTACCTCTAAATAAAAATTAAAAAGGGTTAGGGATATGGCTCAGTGTGCAGACCCTTGGTTCAATTTGCAGTACCATGAAAAGACAAAGACAAAAAAAGAGACAGAGAAAAAAAGAGTGAGACAACAAGAGCAAGAGAGAGAGAAAGAGTGAGAGAGCCAGAGCAAGCAAGCTGGTGAGGAGGTGGGGATCAGGGAGATGGCTTAGTGGAATAAACACTTGCCTGGCAAGCACAAGGGCCTGAGTTCAATCCCCAGTTCCGCAAAAAAAAAAAAAAAGAGAGAGAGAGAGAAAGAAAGGAAAAAATGTACCAACCTAAACATAAATATACCAACTGAAGCCAGCACCTAAATGTAGCTATGTATTAGAATGCTAGTGCTTTCTCCTGGACTTTCATTCTGAAAGGTTTCAGCCTACAGAGCTACATCCCTGTCTGTCTTAGTGCTATGGTCTGACGCACCTTCACAGATATTCTCTCAGTAACATCTTCAAAGTCTGCTACAGCTACCATCCCCTTGTATGGTTGCTTTCTATTTAGTGTACAATTAACACAGTGCTCTATACTTCTCTTTCCTCGTAACACTAAAGTGTATGAAAATAACCTATTTTGCATTTATGTGCTTAGTCTAGGCCCTTCTCTGCTTGACCAAGAAGCCCCCACAACCCCTACCTGCATCTCTCTCATCTACTGCCATGGTCTTCCAACCTACTCCCAATCTTACAGTCAGTGCTAAAACATATTTGGGTCAGGAGTAGAGCATGTGCCTAGCACAAGTGAGGCCTTTGTTTCAAACCCCAGCATCACACACACACACACACACACACACACACACACACACACTCCAAAAAAAACCAAAAAATACCTCACAAATTTTATGAAGATTGAAAGTTTTTCTGTACCTTAGTAACCTCACAAATTTTCTAGATAGGGAATTACTAGGCTATTCTCTTACTAGCAATATTTATTTCTATTTCAAAATATACTATGATTTGTATTATCTTTCGCCATTATATTACCACTTGTATTTTTGGAGTGATGTTCAATCATTCTAATTGAGTTTTATTGTCTTTTCAGTACTGAAGACTCAAGCAGGGCCTCCATAATAAGCTAATCCCAAGGTCTTTGTATTTTCTGAGACAGGGTCTCACTAAATTGTCCAGGTTGAGATTTTTTAAATATTCTTTCAATATAGGGTCTTGCTATGTAGTTTGGACTCGTAAGAGATCCTCCTGCCTCAGCCTGTCTAGCACTGGGATTACAGGTGTGTACCACCATGCCTGGTTTCAGTGGCTGGCACAGTGCACCCAGGGTTCCAGGGCCAGCACAGCATGTGGTACCAGGGATCAAACATGGGGCTTTGTGCTTACCAAGCAGGTGCTTATGCCATCGAGATATCTCCCCAACCCCTAGGTTGAGATTTTAACTTACAGTCCTCCTCATGGTATACCCCTGCCTGCCCCACCCCACTCAATAAGATAATGTTATAAATGCTGACTTTTTATTGTAATTTTTTCTCTGTAGTTCTGGGGATGGAACCCAAAACCTCATGAATTGGGAGCATGCACCCTACTACTTAAACTCCCAGTCTCTTACTGCAAATATTTTTTTTTAAATTTCATCATTTAATATCTTACACATAAGCCTTTAAGTTTTAGTTTAATCAATTTATATTTCATTTTTTCTTTCCATTTTTTTCCGTCCTTCTTCTTTTCCTATCTTTTCCTAGTACTGGAGATTAAACCAGGAACTCCTTCATGGTAGGCAAATACTCTACCCTAAGTTACATCCCCAACTAGCCCCTCCCTCTTTGAGACAGGGCTTGCTAAATGGCCCAGGCTGGACTTCAACTTCTGATCCTTCTGCCTCAGCTCCCAAGTAGCTGAGAGTAAAGGTGTGTGGCACCACATCTGGCTTCTCTCTCAATTTTAAATTTACAAAGTTTTCCTATTTTCAGAGTTTAATTAAAACTCACTTCTATTTCCCTTTGAACTTTTGTACCTATTTCTTCTTCTTTTTTTTTTTTTTTTGATGAGAAGGCAGCAGAAAAGTTTATTAAGGCAACAGTATGCTGGGCTGTGCAAGCTCATGTCATGAAAAGGAAAATGGAATGATCCCAAGGGAAGAGGGTGCAGGGATTTGAATGTCTCTCTTGCTTTAGAGGTCTTCT